AACAGCTGTCTAGGAAATGTGTGATTCTAAAAGCCAAGTGCAAAAAACTAGAATTTAGGGCTACTGAAAGTGATAGTAAAAATATTGAGTTGAAGAACCAGGTTCTTGAACTTGACACCAGTGTCTTAGAACTTAGGTCTGAAAACTTAAAACTGAAAGTAGGAACAGGTAAGAAGAAAGCTGATCACATACATCTCACCTTAGAAGAAAATCTAGGAAAAATGAAGGATGAGTTGTACAAGAAAGATGAGCAGATAAGATGATAGATCTTAAATACTCTTGCCTTATGTTTTGATGATCTAACAAACTTTCTTGTAAGAACCAGTTAGGGAACCTGACCTACTCGGGACTGCTGCAAACTCTAATGGACTCCAGTAAAAGTTGAATTGCTACACATACAGGAGCTAGGAACCAAACAAGGACCTGATGCTCCTGCGGTTCCTATGTAGCAGCACAATGTCATTTGGACACAGCTGGAACTGAAGTGATTGGCGGCACTGTTTCTGCCGCACTGCACCACTGACAGCCCACTCATTCTCTAACCAAACAAAGTACTCACATCATTTCAACTGATGTGATCGAGTTGTACAAAGGGGCTTTTATACAAAACATCACAAATGGGTTTCAGTTTAACAAACTCAAGCATCAAACAAAAACAGAAAAGATTATTCTCTCAAGCTTGAAGAACAAGGTTGAACGCCACTACTGACCAGTTCCTAAACGATTGATTATTGTTGTCCTAGTTGAGTTGTAACCTTGTTATTGCACTTACAATATCTCCTAATCTCTTACTTAGAAGTTTACTGATTAGGAATCCTCTTGTAAATCCTCAGACTCGTTGAGTTTAGGTTGTGGATAGATTTAGTCATAAATAAAAGTCTTTGTAATCGTAGGGTTATAAAGTGGCTTGTGGTGACAGCACCACAAGTTAGAAAAATCCTTTGTAACTAGGATAGTCACAAAGTGGCTTGTGGTAAAGGTAGCACAAGTTAGTTTAAAGTCTTTACAATAGGGAGTATTGTAAAGTGGCTTGTAATAGGTAAGATTACAAATTAGTGAAGTTAAAAGCCTACAAGGTAGGTCGTGGTTTTTTGATCCCCTTGTGCGGGATTTTTCCACGTAGAAAATCCTCTGCCTCATTTACTTACTGCTTTATTAAGTACTCTCAGCAGAAACTTGTAGAGGACCAGGTACTCTACGATTTTGTGGACCCATACAAACTAACAATTGGTATCAGAGCGGGTTCCTCATATCAGGTTAACACCTAGGAAGGATTCTCATGATGGCTCCACTAAATTTTGAAGCAGGCGAATCCATATACCACCCACCCAAGTTTGATGGAAAACATTATTGGTGGTGGAAAGCTAGAATACATAATTTAATCATGGCTGAGGATTGTGAGCTTTGGGATATTATCTGCGATGGTCCGTTTGTTCCAATCAAGACCAGCGGAGAATACACTGAAGCAGACAAGAAAGCAATGAAGAAGAATGTTCGTGCCAAGAAAATTTTGGTATATGGTTTGGAACATAACGAGTACGACAGAATCTCTATATGTGACACTGCGAAGGAAATATGGGAGGCTTTGCAAATAGCTTATGATGGAACTATACAAGTAAGACAAGTAAATCTAATGATGATAATAGTTCTACGATGGAAGTTGAAGGAGAGGAGATTGGATATGACTCAACGCTTGCTTTGATGGCATAATCAGACAATGATGAAGACAATGGCAACGAAGAGGTAAACTTCAGGGATGTTCAGAAAAATCTGAAATCCTACTCTCCAAAAAAACTCATGTGCTTAGCTGATGTGTTAATTACTTCTTTTTGTAGTCTTGCGGAGGATAGGGATTCCTTGTTCTTAGAACTAGAAGAATCTGAACATATTAGAAAAGACTTAGTTGCTGCAATTTCTGATAAAACAAAAGCCCTTGAAAGCTCTGAAAGAGGAAAGGAGATAGTGAATGGGGAATATTCTAGGCTTGAAAATGTGAGTGAGGAACATTCTAAGCTTGAAGATGAGGTGATGGGCTTGAGATGTAGGATGAGTGCTGAAATTGAGAAAAACGAGCTCCTCCAAGCCAATCTAGAAAAAGTAATGAATGATCTTGAAAAGTCTCTAAAGTGGACCTGGTCCGTAGAAGCTACCACGGCCTTGTTCACTAATGACAGTGAAAAAGGATGGGGAGCAGGGTTCCCAAGGAAGAAAGATCCTTACAACCCTCAGAGTAAGAGCGCCACTGCATCTGATAACTGGCCTTGTACTCAATGTGGGAACACTGGGCACTCCATGGAAGGTGTCCATGCCAAGAATCAGTCAGTACCAAAAGATAAAGTGACTGCTGAAACTGTGATCACAAAAGAGGGACCAGGTTCCACTCACAGAAAGCGCACATTACCTGTATGGACCAAGAGAGCTCTTATTCATCCTCTTGGTTACTACAAGGGACCCAAACTTGTTTGGGTTCCTAAAACTAACTCCTAATTTTCTTGTGCAGGGAATAGTGAAGGGAAGTGGTCAACAACGGTTCATGGACAGTGGATGTTCGAAACACATGACTGGGAACACCACAGACTTTCTTTCACTAAAAGCCCCGCAGGGAGGGAGTGTATCCTTTGGCAATGGCAAAAAGGGATACATTCTTGGAGTTGGAAAAGTTGGGAAGTCACTCACTCACTCTATTGAAAATGTGTACTATGTAAATGGACTTAAGTACAGTCTTCTGAGTGTTTCTCAAATTTGTGATAAAGGGAACAAGGTGGAGTTCCTGTCCAAAATATGTACAGTCACTAACCTTGTGACTGGTGAAATAGTTCTGGAGGCCAAAAGATACAAGAACATCCATGTTGCTGATTTCGAATCCTTACAGAGTGGTGATCTGAGTTGTCTGAAGGCGGTTGACGATGATGCAGAACTATGGCACAGAAGACTGGGCCACGCAAGCTTTTCCCTTCTAAATAAACTAATTCAGAAGGACCTGGTTCATGGTCTGCCTGTGTCACAATTCAAAACTCAAAAAGTCTGTGATGCCTGTGCTAGAGGAAAACATGTAAAGTCCTCCTTTAAGTCAAAAGGAGATGTAAGCACCTCAAAGCCGCTTGAGCTCCTGCACATGGATCTTTGTGGACCTATGAGGGTGCCAAGCAGAGGAGGAAAGAGATACATTTTCGTGATTGTGGATGACTATTCCAGATTCACATGGACTCTGTTTCTCAGAACAAAAGATGAAACGGTTGAAGTATTTGTGGCCTTTGTGAAGAAAATTCAAGTGAAGATGGAGTCTAGAGTGGTATGCATTAGATCAGATCATGGGACAGAATTTGACAATGTCAAATTTGATGAATTCTGCAATGAGAATGGCATCACTCACAACTTCTCAGCTCCCAGAACTCCTCAGCAAAATGGAGTAGTAGAAAGAAAGAACAGAACTCTGGAAGAGATGGCAAGAACAATGCTGATTGACAGTGGACTTGCAAAGAACTTTTGGGCTGAAGCTGTCAATACTGCCTGCTACTTAGTGAACAGGTGCATGATCAGGCCAATTCTGAACAAGACCCCAAGCTGACGTATCTAAGAACATTTGGATGCAAATGTTATGTTCTCAACAATGGGAAGGATCAGCTTGGTAAGTTCGATGCTAAAAGTGACGAAGGGATATTTCTTGGCTACTCTTCTCAAAGCAAGGCTAACAAGATTTATAACAAGCGGACTCAATGCGTTGAAGAGAGTGTCCATGTTTTTTTTGATGAATCCCATCCATCTATTGAGAAAAGTACTGAGGAAGATCAAGATGGAGAACCCTTACTTATTCCTGGTGAAGTCATTAACATGACAAATGGAAAGGCAGACTTGATGAGTCAAGTGAAGGAGTCAAATGAAGGTAACGCAGTCTCATCAACAACAGAACCAAGCACCTCAATTACAACCACTGAAGCGGAAGAGAGAGTGGTTGATGCAGTTCAGGGAACTCCTCTGGGATCTGAAGGAAGGATGGAAGAGAATCAGTCAAACATACCGTCCTCCTCTCAGAATGAACCCCAGACATCTAACTAGAGACATCAAAGCTCTCACCCTATTGATAACATAATCACCCCTCTAGATTCTGGAGTTCAAACCAGGTCAAGAGCTAAAAATTCACTTGCCTTCTCAGCCTTTCTCTACCAGATAGAACCCAAGAACATCAAGGAAGCCCTAAAAGATGAAGATTGGATTACTGCCATGCAAGATGAGCTGCATCAGTTTGAGAGAAACAATGTTTGGCACCAGGTTCCCAGACCCCAGATAGAACCATTATAGGAACCAGGTGGGTGTTCAGAAACAAGCTGGATGAGCATGGAATTACCACAAGGAATAAGGCCAGATTAGTGGTTCAAGGTTACAATCAGGAGGAAGGGATTGACTATGATGAAACATTTGCTCCAGTGGCTCACATGGAAGCCATCAGAATTCTGATCGCCTTTGCTTCTCATATGGAATTCACTTTGTTCCAAATGGATGTCAAAAGTGCATTCTTGAATGGACTGCTCAAGGAAGAAGTCTATGTGAAACAACCCCCTGGGTTTGAATGTCATGAGCACCCTGAATATGTGTTCAAATTGGACAAAGCCTTGTATGGGCTAAAGCAGGCGCCTCGAGCGTGGTATGAAAGGTTGTCAAAATTTCTCTTAGAAAATGGCTTTAAGAGAGGAAAAATTGACAACACTCTATTCTTAAAGAAACGAGGAAGGAACCTGCTCATTGTTCAGGTCTATGTTGATGATATCATTTTTGGAACAATGGCTGAATCTCTGTGTGAAGAATTCGCAAAACTTATGGGAAGTGAATTCGAAATGAGCATGATGGGTGAATTAAACTTCTTCCTGGGTCTTCAAGTGAAACAATCCCCAAAGGGCACTTCTATTTGTCAGCAAAAGTACATCAGGGAACTCTTGAAGAGGTTCGACATGGAAGCATCAAAAGTTATAGACACGCCCATTGCAACTGCCACCCGACTAGATATGGATGAATTTGGACCTCCTGTGAATCAAACAATGTATAGAGGCATCATTGGGTCGCTGGTTTATCTTACTGCTAGTCGTCCGGATATCATTTTCAGTGTGGGATTGTGTGCGAGGTTTCAATCAAATCCCAAGGAATCTCACTTGAAGGCTACCAAAAGAATACTAAGATATCTCAAAGGCACACAGGACCTGGTTCTATACTATCCATCAGGTGACAATTTTAATCTAATTGGGTATGCTGATGCAGACTATGCAGGCTATCTTGTGGATAGAAAAAGAACTTTTGGGATGGCTCACTTCTTGGAATCATGTCTTATCTCTTGGGGTACAATGAAGCAAAATTCAGTGGCTCTCTCAATAGCTAAGGCTGCATATGTAGCTGCGGCATCCTGCTGTGCTCAGCTTCTGTGTATCAAGCAGCAATTGGAGGATTTTGGAGTTCTCACTGAGAGTGTACCTCTTCTATGTGACAACACCAGTGCACTTAACATGGCAAAAAATCCAGTTCAACATAAAAGGACCAAACATATTGATGTGAGGCATCATTTTCTAAGAGACAATGTGGAGAAAGGATTGATATGCATGAAGTTCTGCAGCACAGAAGATCAAATTGCAGACATCTTCACCAAGGCACTAAGTAGGGAACAGTTTGAAAGAAACAGAGTAAAGCTGGGACTGCTGAGACCAAACTAAGGACCAGATCCCTTTTTGGTTTGGATTGTGTTATTAAGAAATAATAGGTTCAAAGTGTTTTCTGGCATTGTCTAACTCACTTTAATACCGTTGTAGGTAAACACTCATGATAAGGACAGAGGCAGTAGATACTGTACTGGACTGATAAAAGAGGATTGATTTTTAAAAAAAAAGGGGCCTGAAGACGAAAATGCATCACAAGAACCAGGTTCTTGTACAAAGGTTAGTAGTTCTGTGCATCCCTTAATTCACGTCTTAAAAGGTACAAAATACAACTGCCATCTCATCAACTTTTCAGATCCACCTGTCACGTCTCTTCAATTCAAGCGTTCCATCTCCCTCTGAAACATCATAATTTTCCACGCTCAACCGCCATTTCAGAACCGGTGCCTATTCTTTTCCCCTCATAATTATCCTCTCTGTTTTAAAACCCCCTCTCTTCTACACTTCTTCGCCATAAGCCCTCCTCTAACGTCTCTCAATGGAAGAAAAACATTCTGATCCTTCTACATCATCTGTAACCCCATCCGAACCTTCTATTGGACTTCTCGGCGTCTCTGAGTCAGTGTCATCTTCCATCAACTCTATCGCTACAGTCCTCCCTTCCCTAGTTTCCCAACCTCCTTCCAACTCAAAAAGTACTGTTCCGTTTTCTCCTCTGCCTGTTGCCCACGCCAGTCAAAACCCTAATGGAGACCAAGGTCTAATTACTGAGAATACAAGCGACTCCGCCATTGTTACAGTCAACCCCATGGTCGTGGAAGCACCGGTTGTTGAAGAAAAGATAGTGTTTGTGGTATCTGCTGAAGGGATATTGCATGAGGTCATTTCCCAAAAGCACGCATCACATAGTGTAAGGGAAGAAGGGACCACCATGGGAGATGTAGTAGCATACACTACTGGGGGTTCACATGGAGAACCTGATCCCTCTCCGGAGGACCCAGGTCAAGAATATCATCCCCAGGACAGTAGTATGCCTGCCTTTGATGCCGTGCCCTTGGAAATTAAAGGCCCAGAGATACACTCTAGTGATGAAGAAGATCTTGACAATATGGCTCTTGACACTTTCATCAGTCAGCGTAGGACAATTTCGACTCCTGAGTCTGAAATCAAGCGCCCCACCACAAGGCTTCAACTCAAGGTGGCCTACGACTCTGCACTCCAAAATAGCAAGAAAAGCAGTAAGAAGAAGAAAAGAAAGCTGGTGAAAAATGGTGTACCTATAGGGGATGAAACGATCCCTGTTGTTGAGGTGGAGGAGGGAACTCCTGAGGAACCAGGTTCCCTCATAAGGCGGTCATCAAAAAGGGCAGCGTCTGTTTCCTTGGAAAAGGGGTCTACTTCCAAGTTTAAAATCGAGAAAGCAGTGAGTGGTGAGGATGTTCTTGTCAAGTCCAAAGGGAAAAGTAATGTCAGCAGAGAAAAGCATAGGAAACGCATGTCTGAATCATCTGAAGAACCTAATTCTGGAAAGAAAGCACGAAGTGAGGTTTGCCTGGGTTCTGAACGATTGAGATACCAGAAAGTTCTATTGGGGCGTACGTTTGACCCCACAATCTCAGAAATGGCCGGGATGCGTCAAATCCTGGAAATGGTGGAATTCCAACAGTGGACACATCTTTTCTATGTGGATGCTCCCAAAGTTTATGAGAAGGAGGTCCAGTGTTTCTTTGCCAGTTTGTTTCCAGTAGATACTGACCATGTCTGTGCATTGGTCAATGGTGTGGATATTGTATTTGATGTGAAAGTTCTTGGGGAAATATTGCAAGTTCCTACAGTTGGAGTAAAGATTGTTCGAGATGCTTGCCAATACAACTTCCGCAATGCAGTGGTGAAAGACAATTCCAATCAGAAACGGGACCAGATTCATAAGAAAGCACTCCTTCCTATCTACCAGTTGTTGGTTGAACTGGTTAACAAAGTCCTGTTGCCACGAGCAGAACGTCGATCTGTAACTTCCAAATCTGATTTATTCCTCATGGAGCAACTGGATGATTTTCACCCTGTGAGTCTGCCTGCCATAATGATTGAGCATATGCGAAAAGTGGCTGATTTCAAGGACGGCAATCACGGGCTTCTCTATGGATTCATGCTCACAAAAGTATTCAAACACTTTGAGGTTCCACTGGAAACAAGTAAAGTAGGGACCCGTAAGCAGACATTCTCACAGACCACCCTGGAAGAGTGTGAGTGTATTGAGTAGTATGGGGGTGTAGGAAGCACTTCAACTGTGTCTCAGCTGATCAATGCCCAAAACAGCGCAGCTGAGGAGATACGTAGATTGAAGGCCAGGAATGCTATCTTGGAAGGCCAGCAAGCTCGAGTGGTTCCCTTTCCGAATGATGAAGTGATCCGCTTAACCCAAGAAAATGCTGACCTCAGGGCACAAGTTGAGAACCTAAAAGCTGAACTACTCAATGAGCAAAAGTCGGGCAACGCTCGAATAGACCTTGTTCTCCAAACACTTGCTGCAGCATCCAAGCCTTTTCCTCCTAGTGCCCCTTAAGTTTTCTTCAGTGACCAGTATTCTGGATATCATTTTCTTTTTGTTTGTTTGTGTTGATGATTGATGGTTGGCAGTTTGTTTTTGTTTTCGTTTGTGTGGTTGGGATGTACTGTTACTGCTCCCGTGTTTCCAGTCCAATGTTTCAAAATTCTTAATATAACTCCTCTCTTATCTTGACTAGTATTTCATCTTTGTCCTCTATCTTTTTTCATGATTGTGTGCATATATGTGGCATGAGTTAGCTTGCATGCTGGACTTTTTTTACGCTTTTATTCTTTTTAATGATGCCAAAAGGGGGAATGGACACAGGGGGAACTGGTGACACAGGGGGTACTGGTTCTTAAAATTCTAAACTAGTACACATGGGGAACTGGTGATACAGAGGGAACTGGTTCTTAATTAAGAACTAGTAATCATAACTTAAGGCATTGTCTCGGGGGGAACACCTTGACTTGCTCTCTGATGCCCTAGTTCAGAACTTATAAATGTTTAAGTTTGTCATCATCAAAAAGGGGGAAACTGATAGATCTTAAATACTCGTGCCTTATGTTTTGATGATCTAACAAACTTTCTTGTAAGAAAAAGTTAGGGAACCTGACCTACTCGGGACTGCTGCAAACTCCAATGGACTCCAGTAAAAGTTGAATTGCTACACATACAGGAGCTAGGAACCAAACAAGGACCTGATGCTCCTGCGGTTCCTATGTAGCAGCACAAAGTCATTTGGACACAGCTGGAACTGAAGTGATTGGCGGCACTGTTTCTGCCGCACTGCACCACTGACAGCCCACTCATTCTCTAACCAAACAAAGTGCTCACATCATTTCAAGTGATGTGATCGAGTTGTACCAAAGGGGCTTTTACACAAAACATCACAAATGGGTTTCAGTTTCACAAACTCAAGCATCAAACAAAAATAGAAAAGATTATTCTCTCAAGCTTGAAGAACAAGGTTGAACGCCACTGCGGACCAGTTCCTGAACGATTGATTATTGTTGTCCTAGTTGAGTTGTAACCTTGTTATTGCACTTACAATATCTCCTAAATCTCTTACTTAGAAGTTTACTAATTAGGAATCCTCTTATAAATCCTCAGACTCGTTGAGTTTAGGTTGTGGCTAGATTTAGTCATAAAGAAAAGTCTTTGCAATCGTAGGGTGATAAAGTGGCTTGCGGCGACAGAACCACAAGTTAGAAAAATCCTTTGTAACTAGGATAGTCACAAAGTGGCTTGTGGTAAAGATACCACAAGTTAGTTTAAAGTCTTTACAATAGGGAGTATTGTAAAGTGGCTTGTAATAGGTAAGATTACAAGTTAGTGAAGTTAAAAGCCTACAAGGTAGGTCGGGGTTTTTTGATCCCCTTGTGAGGGATTTTTCCACGTAGAAAATCCTCTGCCTCATTTACTTACTGCTTTATTAAGTACTCTCAGTAGAAACTTGTAGAGGACCAGGTACTCTACAATTTGGTGGGCCCATACAAACTAACATAAGAGTCCTAAAAGAAGATCTAGTCAAGGTGAAGCATGAACTAGACAGAACTTGCAAATGGAATAAGTCCTCTGATGCACTATCCTAGCTACAAGAGCACCACAGTAGCAATAAGAGAGGACTTGGCTTTGGGACCCCAGCACCTAAGTGGGATCCTAAAAGCAAGTACATCACACTTCCTGAGAATAAAATCTGCACACACTGTGGCAAGACTGGTCATTACAAAAGTGAATGCAATGCAAAAGAAAAGGCTAGTCAAAAGAACAAAATCTTTGTTCAAGAGAAAAATAGGCTGCCTGGATGGGCTAAAAAGGAATTTAATTCACCCCTTTGCCTATAGAAAGGGACCCAAATTAATTTGGGTTCCTAAGACTAACCCCTGATTTCGTTTTGCAGGTCCAAGTGAAGGGGAGTAGCCAAATATGCTACATGGATAGTGGCTGCTCAAAGCATATGACTGGAAGTAAGAACCATTTCCTTTCACTTGAGGACCTAAAAGGAGGTAATGTCTCCTTTGGAGATGGGAAGAAAGGTGAGTTCATTAGGGTTGGAAAGGTAGGTAAGACAGACTCACATTCCATTGAGAATGTCTACTTGATAGATGGCTTGAAATATAGCCTAATCAGTGTATCACAACTGTGTGACATAGGTAACCTGGTAGCATTCACCTCTACTAAATGTTTTGTGATTAATCTTACCACTGACAAGATTGTTTTGCAGGGAAAAAGAGTTAACAATATTTACATTGTAGATTTGTCCACTCTTTTAGAAAATGAACTCACTTGCTTGAGTGTGTTGGACAATGATCCCCTCCTGTGGCACAAAAGACTTGGTCATGCAAGTCTAAATCAACTCAACAAATTAGTCTCCAAGGACCTGGTGATAGGGTTACCTAACATCAAGTTCAAGGAAGACAAAGTTTGTTAGTCTTGTGTAAGGGGAAGCAGGTAAGATTCTCTCCTAAAAGCATGAAAATGGTAAGCACGACCAGTACGATGGAACTGGTCCATATGGATCTCTGTGGTTCAATGAGAACATTGAGCAGAGGTGGTAAGAAATATGTGATGGTACTTGTTGATGACTACTCTAGGTTTACTTTTGTATTGTTTTTAACGTCTAAGGATGAAGCATTTGACATGTTTACTGCCTTTGTTAGAAAAACTC